AAAAAAAAAAGCGCACCTTTGACTCTTCTTCCTCCACCTCATCTTCCTTTGTCATTGTTATCTTCTTCAAAAAAATAACAATAAAAATCTATTGGGCAGAAAATCTGAAAGGAACCCCAAGGGTTAGAAAAAATGCTATCGGGCTGAAAACCAGAAAGGAACATCGGAGCGATGAAAAATAAAAATAAAAAAATCCACTGGGCTGGAAATCCAAAAGGAACCCCAAGTGTCGGAAAAAAAGCTACTGGGCTGAGCACCCAAAAGGGACCCCAGGGTGACGAAAAAAGAAGAAGTTCTCTCATTCCTTCTAATCTTCAAAGCCTTTTCTCTCTAAACATCTTCTTTTCCTCCCCTAAGTCAAAGTGGTGTTAAAAGAAAAATCAATAAGCATTAGCCTGACGGAACGTTATTAAGAACCTAGATCGTCTGAAACTTCGAAAGGTGGATGGTGGAGGAACGAAATCGGAAATCCAAAGAGATTCTGAACACCTGGGGCCAGTATCAGAAATTTCAAGGCTTTGTTTCGCTCGAAACTATAGAGAACGCTCATTGAATTGCAACATAAGAGCTGAGGTTGGAAGATAAAGACATACTTGATGATTCTTCATCCCGAAGATTCAAGCAAGGACCCGATACACTCACATAGGGTCCACCAAAGGGGTCATAAGAGGTTAAACTGTAAGACATACATTAAAAGAAAACCACCCCCCAACAAGGGCGGCAAGAAAAAAAAATAAAAAAAAGGATAATAAAAATCCACGATCGTATGAGTATAACCGCCGACTACACGATTTATCGCTGCATGACGTTAAACTGCTTAGAGTTCTCTATGGTTGCAGGAGTTAAAACTGCTAACCAACCTTGTTTTTCGAAATATCTTTCTCTTTCACTATATCTCTTGTGTTGTCAAAAACTTTAATTTCTTCGTTAAAATTGTAACTTGTCCTTGCTCTGGGTTCTATTTCAAATCGCCCCCTACTTTCAAAATTTCTAAAAATGACTTTCAAAACAAAGGAGCTTGGACACCCGTACATGATGATCACTGCGTTGCTGCGATTACCGTGTTGCTACCTCATCTCTCTCTTTAGATTCGTCCAGACAAGTCTCTTCATATAGAAATCCTTTCCAATAGACAGCCTTAGGAAACCCTAAGGAGATCAAAGAAGATGTATAGGTTAAAAATTTTTGAACTGCAAAACACCTGAAGTTAAGTGACATGGCTAGAAAATCCAACTCGAGTTTCAAGCATGTGTAACTCATCGACATCTCACGCGGAAAACCCTAAGAAGAAAAATGCCTTAGGTGGGTAAGCTCGATGAGCGCAATGACTTGCAGTGATTGTTGGTGTGCCCTCTGACCACTTGACCTCAGGAAGAAATCTTTGATGTTCACCTGCCCCTCGAAGGACAGGGAACACAAAAGTGTCTACTTCTTTAACACTCACATATCTCTCGAAGGACAAGGAGTGTCAAAGAGAGGCAACTATAGACACCCCATTTTAAATCTGGCAAATTCTATGACACCCCATTTTAAATTTGAAAAATCATGTGGTTTCTTAAACCCTTAGGATCACACTTAACTTAGTAAACCCATTTTTTGGATAAGTACGTGTAGGTTATGTGAGTATAATCCTCTTTTTGTGGTCATTTGGAAGGGGAAGAGAGAGACCAAACCCTTAGATAGAGTAGATAGAGATAAAAATCTGAGAGACCAGAACCCTAAGGAAAAGAATAGATCAGAGAGAAAAAAAACTAGAGAGAGAGTCACATGAGAGAAGAAAAAACCCTAGAAACTGAACCCAAGCCTCCTGAGAGAAAACCTAGACCTAGGGCAGAACCACCCTAGATCTACCCTTAGGGCACAACCACCTTTCTTCAACCAGAGACTTTTTGGTGAACATTAGACTCAGAGAGACAAAAGAGGACCGATTCTGATACGGGCGAGCCCCAGGAGGCTCGGGAGTCCCAGGCCATCCGGCCTATTTCATTATCATTTCTTTCTTTTTTTTATTCTTATTTTATTGTTTTAATTTATTTTGATCTGCTTATTTGCTTTTAAAATCGTATTTTCGTGTCTTGGATCATGCTGGCTCTGCCACAGATCTGAGAGTAGATTTGCACATTTCCAAGCAGATCTGGCCTCGGATCTGAATTCGATTTGTCTCACTTTGTTTACCACTATTTTATTGCATTTTTATTTCGTTTAAGGTGTCAAAATCCAAGAGATCTTCATCGGAAGATCTGTCATATTTTCATCGTAAACAAGTAGTATCAATTATGTGGATCTTGGTTTGGAACATTAGGTATGTAATTAAACTAAGAGAAGTGCAGTGCGGGCCTTATTACAGACCCATCAGCCCGAAGTAGCTGCAATCATACAAACCAAACTTCCTAGGCCTATTCTATCGGAAGTAAGGCTTATGGCATAAAAGATTGGACTGAATGCCACCCTTCTCAGGCCTATTCTATTGGAAGTAAGGCCCATATTGGGTAAGGTCCTATCAATGGGTGGCCAAAGCGGAGTAGCAAACATTTAGAGACATTTTTTCATTCCTAAGATGTGACAGTTTATTATTAAGGAACAAAACAAATTCTAAATTTTTACTATATATTATATTGCTGCAAAACAATTTTTCCATTAACAAACTTTCAGACTTGTACAAAGTTTATAATAACATGAGGACTTATATATATATATATATATACAACTTTGACATTACAAAAGTTACAATGACGAATTTATCCATGACTACAAACTCCTTCTGTTATACATACGAACAATACGGCTGTGATTACTCCGAAAATTTTTTTACCATAGTTTGATGAGTTTGGCTACTCAGTAAGTGACCAACATTATCCTTTCAAATCATGGTTAGAAAGAGTAATTATTTTCTAAAAGAATGCTTAATATGAGGAAGAGTATACATGAAGAACATATTCAAATTTAGAAATACAAAATTTAACATAACTCCGAAGATTTGAATGCATAGTAAACTAGTATAAGAAAGTGCTTACATAATTCTTTTAACAGAAATGCTCAGTTTAACATAAAACTAGGATTTCACAAGGTACCCTACTAGCGTTCCTAATAGGTATTTTATATACCCCACCAGCTTCCTGGATGGGTCCACTCATATCTCACTAACGTACCGGATGAGTCCACTTAGACACACGATTCATATCAAGATTAACAATAATCTAACTTTATTGCAATTAAGTATCAGATAGAATCAAACAAGCAGTCACAACAGCAGAAGCCCTGCAGTAAGCATTCATAATAACAGAAGTCATGCAGTAAGCATTCATAATGATAGAAGTCATGCAGTAAGCATTCACAATAACAAAAGTTCTGCAGTAAGTATTCACAATAATAGAAATCCTACAGCAAGCATTCACAACAACAAAAGTTATGCAACAAGCATTCATAATAATAGAAGTCTTGCAGTAAGCATTCACGATAACAGAAGTCCTGCCGTAAGCATTCACAATAACATAAGTCCTGCAGTAAGCATTCACAACAACATAAGTCCTGCAGTAAGCATTCACAACAACATAAGTCCTGCAGTAAGCATTCACAACAGCAGAAGTCCTGCAGTAAGCATTCACAATAACAGAAGTCTTGCCGTAAGCATTCACAACTCCTGAAGTGCATTCACAACAACATAAGTTCTGCAGTAAGCATTCACAACAACAGAAGTCCTGCAGTAAGCATTCACAACAACATAAGTCCGTGCAGTAAGCATTCACAACAGCAGAAGTCCTGCAGTAAGCATTCACAATAACATACGTCTTGCCGTAAGCATTCACAACAACAGAAGTCCTAAAGTGCATTCACAACAACAAAAGTTCTGTAACAGAACTCATGTAATAGAAGCACTAATCTTTGGATCCAAGGTTAGAACTTTTATCATCCTGCGGGGAGAAGCACCACCAATGAGTAAATCCGTTGCATAGTGCCTCACATACGCACACAATCCCCACGTGCATTGGGGCTTTTGATAGGTGGAGGCCTTGCAAGACGCGACCCTCTCATGTGTCCTTCTAGCGAGAGAGTATTACACTACCAAAGAGGTCCCAATGAGTAGTACCTCACATAGATATTGGGGGGCGCGATCCTTCTGACCACACATACTAGTAACTCTCATTCCTATCATAGAGAGTTAGAGAAACAAAATCACCGCTGCCGGCACAAATATCTCATCAGATGCATGTTTCCATGCTCACATATCTTATTAGAAACTTGTTGCCCTGCACACATATCTTATCAAAAGCATGTTACCATGCACACATATCTTATGATAAGTTGTCATGACCCCGCCCGCGATCGCTTTATCCTTGATGATGAAGGGCGATCAAGTGCTGGATCGTGAACCCAATGTAGCGTTTATTACTCGGGTAATAGCAGACTCAACGCCTTATTCTCCGTAATCAAGCAAACCAAGGAAAGTCAATGCTCACAAGCCTAAAAATTTAAAAGCAAATTCATTCATAAGAAAAGATGTTTCATTACTTTACATTACACCCCAAAAGTAGTACAATAAAGTTCAAGGCTCCAGGGCTCAGAGTTACATACTTCGAAGAAAGCAATACAAATAGGGCTTAGAGCCCAGCTACCTACAAGATCTAAAATCCTTCTCTGAATGGCCGCTTTGATCTTTAGCTGCAACCCGCACTCCCAACTTTGAACCTGTAACTTTCAGTCTACAAGGAGGAAAAATAATGGAATGAGCTTTGAAGCTCAATAAGCAGATCTAGTGTTATACTTTGGTAACAAGTCTATCCATGTGCAATAAACAGTTTATTGGATCATAATCAGTACCAGTGTAGTAGTCACATATATTGGTCATCAAATCAGTACATCAATTATAAATAGGATATCCAAGCAATAGTGCATCAATTATCGACAATATCATACAGTCATTACAACTCCGGGAAATCACAATCACAATTCATTTGTTACACACTGACTCCCTAGTTCACCTACTCCTGCTAGTAGAAGTTCTATCCATCACGCCAAGACAAACCTATTGCTTAGGACTTCTACCATCCCACAAGAGGGAGGGTAATGACAAGCGGGGTAATCCGCTTCGTAATACCCTCAACTCACACACACAGTTTCCAACGCGTATTGGAGGTTCGACAGGTCTTTACCTTGCAAGACATCAATCAATCACATATCTCATCTCATGAATCACAGGGATCGACCCTCTTTTCTCCCCTAACCAATTTCTGTCATTGTGCAGGTTAGGGAACATGCCGGCATTACTGTCTCAGTGCATCCGTCTCCACTACCGATAGGTGACCCATCTCATAATGACCAATATCCACAAACAATGGCCATTCTTACATTGATATAACATAGCAATGTTCACTACCAATGGGTGTCCCATTGCGTAGTGGTCATCATTAGGGCATCATCTCTTGCTCGAGCATTCTATTCATTCATGCCAATTCAACACTTCGTAACAGATAAATCACATTCTCATCATCTCTGTATGGCAATTAACACGAAACATTCATTACATGAATCATAGCATAACATTTACACATGGATATCATCAACAGCATTTTGGCACTTATCGTGAAACTTTCATCATGGAATAATCACATCAATATGGCGCTTATCACTTTTCACATAGCACATTGTGTGGAGCATCATTCACATAACCTTGTAGCATATGCATGGCAATTATCATATAATATTCATACTTGTCACTTATCAAGGGAATTTTAACGCTTCAATTAATAGCTAGAGGAGAGAATTTCAATGTTTCACTGATCACGGAAATCGAACCTCATTAGTTTGGTCAAAAATTTAGTTCTAAACAAATAATAGTTGCTGGAAAACAGTGGGCAGTGACACACTCGCATATTTTGGGGTACAACTCTAAATTTATAGGAAATTTTGAAAATCTCAAAACATGCAAATTCAAGCCCAATCATAGACCCTTCCAATGGGGTAATTTAAGGCCATTTGGAAGCCATTTGCTAGGGCAAAGGCCCAATACAAGTCACAGTTGCTGGAATTTCCGAAAATTATGAACAGTGACGTGTCTCAACATTTTAGTTCACATCTTTCAATCTTACAACATTTCAATATAGCATATAAAGCAAACTTGAAGTGAGCACGTATATCTCTCATTCAAGACCAGTTTGAGCTCGTTTGGCTAGCGAAAAGCTCAGAGCAAGAGCCCTCACGGTTGCTGGAAAAGTTTCCTTCGCACAAGTATTAACATGTTACTACCATGATACACACCATTTACAAGTCGAATTAGCAAGTTTGACGAGAATATTTCCTTTATAATTTTCCAAGATCATTGGCAATGGATGAATACTCTTTCTTTTTATTTTCCATGCATTCTACGTTCTTGCAGTTGAACCCACCATTTTCCTATTCTTCATATCCCATCACTCCATGGAAATCTCAAGGCCTAGCGCTAAATCCACTTACCTCAAGGTCACGGTGCCCCCTAAACTTCCTTGCGCAGGTCGCCCCTTGCTCCCCACAGCAGCCTCACTCCTAGGCCTTTACGCGCAGGTCTTCCCTTGCTTTAGTTGGCAGCCTCCCAACGGCAGAAGCTCAAGGCTCTCTAGAAAGAGAAATTTTGAGGAAAAGAGAGGGAAACGACATTGAGGGTGAGGAGGGGTGTGATTTGTAGGTGCGTTGGTAGGTGAGGCCAACTATGGTTGACGTCGCAGTGCTGACAGGTATGGTACGACGCAGACACCGCTAACGGCTGCACACTTGACCAACCGTGCATACTGTTACTCTAGGCGGCGACGCTTCTGACAGAAACACACTTGTGGCGATGCTCCAGACGGCGACACACACTCGTGGCGATGCTCCAAACGGCAACGCACATGTGGCGATGCTCCAGACGGCGACATACGCTTGCGGCGATGCTCCAGACGGTGACACAAGCTGTCACACCCCAAGAATTTACAATACTGTTATTCCTGAGATGTGACAGACAAAACATATACATCTACTGATAGGACAAATTTACAGTGGCGAGGTCTTACAAAGTAACAAAAGAAAGCTAGCACAACAACAATATCTTCCAAGGTCGATCTTGACTAGCACTCAAAATGAATCCGCAGTTATCTTGAAAAAATGTTTACCATAGTTTGATGAGTTTGGCTACTCAATAAGTGATCATCATAATCCTAAAAATAATCATGATTGAAAGATATCAATATTTTCAAAAAGAATATCTATTAACAGAAATGCATCAACATTTTCACTTTCAATAAATGCATAATTAAGTATATCCGAGTAATTGAAATGCACATAACACTTTAACACGTCAATGCATAATTCAAAGGATTTCACAAAATACCCTACTGGCGTCCCAAGTAGGTCACCTATATACCCCATCAGCGTCCTGATGGGTCCACTTAATCCCTATCGACGTCCCAGATAGGTCCACTTAATCCCTGCAGGTCCACTTATACCTCACCGGCGTACCGGATGAGTCCACTTAATCCCTACCGGCATCTCAGACAGGTCCACTTATACCTCACCGGCGAACCGGATGAGTCCACTTGCATACTTAAATTATTTCTAAATCTCTGTAAACATTTGAAAGCAGCAATATCATGTACTCAACATATCACTGAAATCATTAATATGAATTTCACTTAAACCATTAATAACAGTCACTCTCTATAACATTTCAAAAATAACCAATCAAATATTTTGGGCTCAAATTTAGAAAGGTAGCAGTTTGTAAAGGCATTCTAGCATAATTGCCAATTTAATATGTATAGAAAAACTCTTATAGAAATTCAAGAATACGGAATTATCACAATTTGTGGGATATCAATCCACAGATAAACATTTCACAACAATACTATAATCAATTGCAAAAATGTCAATTTTTAAATAATAAGGCAGTCATTTGCACATGAATTTTACAATATCTAAATATTCAAAACAGTAGAAAGAAATATCACAATTTTACTAACAGCAGAAATATCACATTTATTTCTAACAATAGACAAGAAAAATAAATAAATTTATTTTTCTAATTTACAGCATTCAAAATTTCTAACATAGATAAGATATCACAATTTTTATTAAAAAGATTATTTTTCAAGATAATGAGGTCACGTGCGCATAAAATTTATCGTGCCTAAAATTCATGATAATATACAGAAATAATTATTTCATTTTATTTTTAAAACGAATGGATTATTTTTCGAGACAATGAGGTCACTTACACACAAAACTTATAAAATAAAGATCCTAGACGGAAATATCACTATTTATTAAAAACAGACTATTTTTCAAGAAGACGATGTCACTTACCTAAAATATTTGAGAAGGAGCTTCCGATAAGAATACGGCTAGAGAGAGAGATAAGAGAATCTTTAAATGGCACAAATTGTCTACTTGAACGAGGATAAAAAAAGGGATAGAGAGGTCTGATTCAAGAAAGGGAGAGAGAGAGAGGGCGAGATTGTAGAGAGAGAGAGAGATCTTAAATGGAATTTCAAGTGAGAGACCAGTTTTATTGTGCAATTTGTCTGTGTATTTCTTTGGGGGGCAGAGCTAAGAGGGTGGATATTCTTCGAGCAGGCTTGATCTTTGAGAAGAGCACGGGCAAAATACAAACAGGCAAGGGTTTCGATGAGAGAG